TGAGTCCATCGTGGATCCCACACGCCAATATCCCATGGATCCCATTGTCCATATCCCATGGATCCCATGTGTCCATATCCCACAACTCCCCATCCCACAGCTCCTACACATCCATATGCCACAACCCCCCTATCCCACGGATCCCATGGATCCAGGTCCCACAGCCCCTTCTCCCACTCATCCATATCCCAAAATTTCCATCATCCATATCCCATATCTCCTACATATCCATATCCCGCAGATCCCATGGATATATATCCCACAGCTCCCACACATCCACATCCTACAATTCCCACTCATCCCTGTCCCACAATTCCCTCTCATTCCTATCCCACATCTCCCACACATCATATCCCACATCTCCTACATATCCATGTTTCATAGATCTCATGGATCCACGTCCTATAGCCCCTTCTCCCTCTCATCCATATCCCAAAATTCCCACTCATCCATGTCCTACAATTCCCATTCATCCATATCCCACAGCTCCCATACATCCATATCCCATATCTCCTGCATATCCGTATCCTGTAGATCCCATGGATCCGTATCCCACATCTCCCACTCATCCATATCCCACAATTCCCACACATCCCTGTCCTACAATTCCCTCTCATCCCTATCCCACAGCTCCCACACACCCACACCCCACAACCCCCACATCCCACACACCCCATGGATCCCCACCCCACATCCCATCCCTGTTTCTCCCCCACCCCACCCCCATGTGTGGCACCACCCTGAGGGTCCCAATCCTCTTTTCCCCCACCCAGGAGGACAAAAAAATCCCACACGGGAACGTCTCCGGGAAGAAGGTGCTGCTGGCACGGGAGGGGGACACGGCCGGGGGGAGCCCCCCGTTCATCAAACTCAACGACCCCGGGGTCAGCGTCACCGTGCTGGCCCGGGATGGTGAGTGAGGGGYTCTGGGGGGGTTTTGGGGTGCTGAGCCCCCCGTGGGTGCTGAGTGGGGCTGGGTCCCCCCAGTGCTGGTGGAGCGGATCCCGTGGGTGGCTCCTGAGTGTGTGAGCGATCCCGGGAGCCTGGCGCTGCCGGCCGACAAGTGGGGCTTCGGAGCGACCCTCTGGGAGATCTTCAGYGGGGGAAACGTGCCCCTGAGCCTGCTGGAGCCCCACAGGGTGAGACTGCCCCATCCTAAATCCCAAACCTCCTGTCCCGTTTTGTTCTATCCCAAACCTCCTGTTCTGTCCCCTCCTGCTGTGTCCCAAACCTCCTGTCCCTGTCCGATTTCATCCTGATCCTCCCATCCCATGGATCCCATCCCATCCCATCCCATCCCAATCCCCCCATGCCATTCCATCCCTCCTGCCCTATCCCACCATATCCCGATCCTCCTGCCCCATCCTATTGCCTTCCAACTCTCCTGTCCTTTCCCATCATATCCCAGCCCTTTTCCCTGCCCAGTTTCATCCCAATCCCCTCATCCCATGAATCCCATCCCATCCCATCCTATGAATCCCATCCCATCCCATAAATCCCATCCTATAAATCCCATAAATCACATCCCATCCCATCCCATGGATCCCATCCCATAAATTCCATCCCATAAATCCTGTCCCATAAATCCCGATCCATCCCACGGATCCCATCCCATCCCGTGTATCCCATCCATTTCCATCCCACCCCATAGATCCCATCCCATCCCATCCCGCTGCCCCATCCTGGATCCATTCAGTGTCTCTTTATGGGCTCCCCCACTCCCCAATCCCCCAATCCCCTGTCCCCACAGAAGCTGGAGTTCTACCAGAGTCACCAGCAGCTCCCAGCTCCCAAGTGGCCCGAGCTGGCCGCGCTGCTGGCCCAGTGCCTGGACTACGAGCCCCAGCGCCGGCCCTGCTTCCGCGCCCTCATCCGCGACCTCAACAGCCTCATCACCTCTGGTGGGYGCCRGGAWGGGCTGGGGGGACACGGGGRACCCCACAAARRTCTCACTGCCYGTCCCTACAGACTACGAGCTGCTCTCGGACCTGTCCCCCACGGATGTGACCATACGGGATGGCTTTTGGGGACACGAATCCCTGGCCATGAGCCGGGATCCTGAGAACTTCCAGGAGAGGCACCTYAAGTACATCTCGCTGCTGGGCAAGGTAGGGGGCACAGCAGAGACCCCAAAACCCAAACTCTTCCCTGATTTGGGGGTTGGGACAAGGTGGGGGGCACGGCAGAGACCCCAAAACCCAAACTCTTCCCTGATTTGGGGGCTGGAACAAGGTGGGGGCACAGGAGAGGCCCCAAAACCCAAACTCTTCCCTGATTTGGGGGTTGGGACCCCAAACTCTTCCCAATTTGGGGGCTGGGAAACAAATCCCGAGAATCCCAAACTCTTCCCTGATTTGGGGGCAGAAATCCCAGGAAAAGAATCCTGGGAATCCCAAACTCTTCCATGATTTGGGGGCTGAGACATCCTGGGAAACAAATCCTGATAATCCCAAACTCTTGCCCATTTGGGGGCTGGGAAATGAATTCCTGGGATTCCCCAAACTCTTCCCCATTTTGGGGCTGGAATGTCCTGACAATCCCAAACTCTTCCCTGATTTGGAGGCTGGGACATCCCAGGAAAAGAATCCCTAGAATCCCAAACTCTTCCCCATTTGGGGGCT